GGTTGTTGGGGAATGGTTGTTGAGGAGTGGTTGTTGAGGAGTGGTTGTTGGGGAATGGTTGTTGAGGAATGGTTGTTGGGGAATGTTGTTGAGGAGTGGTTGTTGGGGAATGTTGTTGGGGAATGGTTGTTGAGGAATGGAGGGCGTGATGAATTTCAGCTAATTGAGTTAGAATTAAGCTAGAGGGGACTTTAAGGACAGTGTGTAGGCTGACTCGCTGGACTGAATCCTGACCATCTGACCCCAATCCCAGTCCTAGTCCCAGTCTCACACATAGGCCGACTCGCTGGACTGAGTCCTGCCCAGTGCTGACCCCGATCCCAATCCCAATCCCAATCCCAATCCAATCCCAATCCCAATCCCAATCCCAATCCCAATCCCAATCCCAATCCCAATCCCAATCCCAATCCCAATCCCAGTCTCTATACAATAGCAGGAAGTGAATGAGGATGTGAGAAAGATAAAATTATCAAAAATTACTGGGATTGGGATTGGGGTCAGATGGGCAGGACTCAGTCCAGCGAGTCGGTTTATGTGTGATACTGGGACTGGGACTGAGACTGGGACTGGGATTGGGGTCAAATGGGCAGGACTCAGTCCAGCGAGTCGGCCTATGTCTGATACTGGGACTAGGACTGGGGTTTGGGGTCTGGATTGGGATTGGAGTCATAATTGCAATATGGGGGTGATCGTTATTATTCGCCAAAGTCAGCAAAGGTGTGAAGAAATGAGCACATAGGGGTGGGATTGACCATTATTGTATGTGAGAAAGATAAAATTATCCAAAAAAAGAGGAATTGTAATTGCAATATGGGGGTGATCGTTATTATTACCCAAAGTCAGCAAAGGTGTGAAGAAATGAGCACATAAGGGTGGGATTGACCGGTATTTTATTGTCCAATGCTGAGCTACGCTTTTGCAATATATATGAGCTTATATTGATTATAAAAATGCAGAGGACTGGAAATAAAATTGGGATTTGCTGATCATGGGGGTGTTGCTTGTTTTTTTTGGGCTCTCGTGATGCAGGTGGTGTTCCGCAACGCGCTGGAGATCGGATTTCTGGGCGGGCAGTATTTCCTCTACGGCTTCAACGTTCCGGCCATCTTCGAGTGCGACCGCTACCCGTGCGTCAAGGAGGTGGAGTGCTACGTGTCGCGGCCCACCGAGAAAACCGTGTTCCTGGTGTTCATGTTCGCCGTCTCCGGSGTCTGCGTCCTGCTCAACCTGGCCGAGCTCAACCACCTGGGCTGGCGCAAAGTGCGGGCGGCCGTGCGGGGAGCGCGGGCGCGGCGCAAATCCCTGAGCGACGCCAGGAAAAAGGAACCGCCCGCGGCGGCGCCGGCGCCGGTACCGGCACTGGGCAGGACTCAGTCCAGCGAGTCGGCTTATGTCTGAGACTGGGACTAAGATTGGGGTCAGATGGGCAGGACTCAGTCCAGCGAGTCAGCCTATGTGTGATACCGGGACTAGGATTGGGGTTTGGGGTCTGGATTTGGGATTGGGATCAGCACTGGGCAGGACTCAGTCCAGCGAGTCGGCCTATGTGTGATACCGGGACTAGGACTGAGATTGGGACTGGGATTGGGGTCAAATGGGCAGGACTCAGTCCAGCGAGTCGGCTTATGTGTGAAACTGGGACTAGGACTGGGGTTTGGGGTCTGGATTTGGGATTGGGATCAGCACTGGGCAGGACTCAGTCCAGCGAGTCGGCCTATGTCTGAGACTGGGACTAGGACTGAGATTGGGACTGGGACTGGGATTGGGGTCAGATGGGCAGGATTCAGTCCAGCGAGTCGGCTTATGTCTGATACTGGGACTAGGATTGGGATTTGGGGTCAGATGGGCTGGACACAGGATTTATATTAATTTGGGGGTGTTTATATTTATTTTGGGGCGGTTTATATTTCTTTGGGGGGGTTATATTGATTTAGGAATGTTTATATTTATTTTGGGGGAGGTTTATATTTATTTTGGGAGTATTTATATTTATTTTGGAGGGAAATGTATTTATTTAGGAGGGGTTTATATTTACTTTGGGGTGTTCATATTAACTTTGGGGTATTTATATCAATTTTGAGGGGGGCTATATTTATTTTTGGGGGGTTTATATTAACTTGGGGAGGGTTTTATTTATTTTGGGGTGGTTTATATTTATTTTGGGGTGGTTTATATTTATTTTGGGGTGGTTTTATTTATTTTGGGGTGTTTATATTTATTTTATTTGTATTTATTCCAGAGTGTATTTATTTGAGTGGGGTATTTATTTGGGGGGGGGTCAGAAGGTGCTGGGGGGGGCAGAGCCCCCCCAAAGTGTAAATAAAGGGGTCACACAGGCCCGAGTGGCTCTGGGGGGTTTTTGGGGAGGGGTCCCTGGGGTGGCCCCTTAATCCCCCCCTGAGCTGAGCCAGAACCATCGGCCACGCCCCC